CCCATATTGGTCTTGACCACATTCATCAATTGATTTGGCAAAAAAATTGTATTTATGCTACCCTGGGGTAGGGAACCATCATACAGATAATTGCCATATAGGAATTTGTTTAAGTAAAGTCTCCACATTGGAGTATCCCCAAGTCCACTTTCACATCTAATGTGTGGTCAGAAATGAAAATTTTGTATTCTTTTGAATATATCACCCCAAGTGAATATTGGTTGGGAACGTAGATTTGGGATGTACTCTATATGAAATAAATTGTACCCCTCAAGTCCACCTTTTGGCGGGCAAACAGACCGACATGGTAAGGAAGACATATGAGGATTCTAATGCACAATCTAGGGTGTTAATGGGTTTAAAAAAGTAATTAACTTTGGCTATTCTTAAATCATTCAGCCCTCAATTATGAGGTGTACAAAATACAGTAAATTCCAAATTACTGCTCATTTGACTGGAAAATTTTGCTACGATTTTTACCATACTAAAAATTATTCTGATCCCTTACATGGGGTTAAGATTGATATATAAGTTTAATAGATTTGTATAGCACATCCACACATTTGAAGCCCATGGTTTAAATATTGAAGCCCACGGCCTTAATATGAGTACAGGTATTGTAAAACACTTTTAATCGACCAGTACTTGAACTCATATCGGTCATATCTGTGAATAATTATGCTTTGACAAATATGCATAATAGACAAAAACTACGGGCCGTCAACACGGGCCAGGCTAGCTAGTAAGTATTTCTGTCTTACTGTGCAGAAAACATATTTTTCGAAAAATTCGACATTTTGTGTGGGATGTATATATATATATATATACATATATATATATACATATATATATATATATATATATATATATATATATATATATATATATATATATATATATATATATATATATATATATATATATATATATATATTCTGCACAGTAAGACAGAATATAATCCGATTTTCCTCCAACTTTGCAAATCCCAGTGATACGTCAGTTGCGAAAACGGATAATGTCAGTCCACTCCATCAAGTACCTCCCCCACTAAAGGTCAAAACTTTGAATAATTACAACTGTTATAAAATATGATTTAACAGTCCGATTGTCTTGAAATTTCACACATCCCAATATTTTTATCAACCCAAGATCTTATGTTAAGATGGAATATATCGGTTCGCTCCTAGATTTTCTAGAAATTATCATATATGTCATGTAAAGTGAAGGAAGATACCAATATAGACCAAACCTGACACATCGCAATATTTATATCATATTTATTTAGGTCCGGTACGAAATGGCCAATATTGGCCCATTCTTCCGGAAAATACTCCATAGAGGGTTCAACATTTGAACAATCATAACAGAAGTCAAAATATTTGTGAGTAATCGTACATTAGCCGAGGGTATACATCTGTCGGCAAAACCGACAGATACTCTTTAACTTGTATTCATTACATTTTTTCATTACTAGTTGATTATTGTTATCATCAGTTATTTTATTTATTTCGTTTGTTAGGAACTGGAAATCCTCATGATCTGGACTATCTACTAACCATTTCCAGGCTGTACCAACCTCATTTAAAGATTATTTAAGATATTTTAGATTTTCATTGCCAAAGAGTTTCTGATTTTTTGAAGAGAATCATAACATTCTTCAATATCAATTACATGCGGTATGCTGAATTTTTCCTATTCCACTTTCAACCAGAGTTGCTTCCGATTAAGAATTTGATCCCAAGACAACCTTAATTAGAAACGGAACATTTGGAGAGCAGCTTTATTAGTTTATATAACTCTTATGGACTATTTTCCCTGACTGAGTCAACAGGGTTGAGCTTTTGTTGTCTTCCACTATTTCTTTCTTAAAACGTTTAGATATCTTATGTGAACTAAGTCGTATAAAAAACAGCGTTCGAAAATAAACAGTATGGTACTGTACCGTTCCGAGGTGGAGTGGTACACTAAGATAATGTACCGAACCGGTGCACAACCCTTGAAGAATATTTTAGTGATACTGTACCGTAGCACAACGAGAAACGTACTGCACCGCAGTCGGAACACTAAAAAACGTAGTGTACCGCAGTCGGAGCACTAGGAAATCGTAGTGTTCCGCAGTCGTAGTGTACCACATGGCGGAACTTAAAAAATAATCTACCGGTAGTGTACCACATATATGTTGGTAATGATTTGCGAGAAAAATTAGATGTTTGATGTTTTTGATAATGCAAAAATTACTAATACAATTCAATTTTATGAAAATAAAAGCTGAATTTAATTTATTTGTCATGTATGTTTAGATTGGTTGGGAAATCGAAGAATGTAGAAAAATGTGGGAATAGGTAGAAAGAATAACAATTAAAAAAGTTGTAAGTTCGGCCAGGACGAACTTTGAATACCCTCCACCATTTAGTACAAATTTGGCAATTTTCAAAAATATAAAATCCATTAAAAATTCTGTTAAAATCTTAAAAATACCGAATGTAGCCGTATATTAGGGTCTATACGAAGACATGGACCTTCATAGGCAACTTTTGTCATAAACTATTATAATATTCAAATGCTTAACTTTAAAAAAAATATGTCTATAATGTAGCAAAAATAAATAATATACCGAATATATATGGACCTGCACAGACAATTTTCTGGCATATGCTGTAGTGTCCATTGCGAACTTCAAATACAAAATTTGAAATAATTCAGGTAAATAATGTTGCCAGAATCATCCAAATACCGAATATCGTAGGGTACCGTTATATGGGGGCTATACGAAGACGTGGCTCATTTTCTGTCTTAGACTGTTGTACCCATTACGAACTTCAAATACCAAATTTGAAACAATTCCGGTAAATAATGTCGCTAAAATCATCAAAATACCGAATATCGTAGGGTACCGTTATATGGGGGCTATACGAAGACGTGGACCTACATGGCCCATTTTCAATACAAAAAGTCCTGCAGACATAATACACATTTGAGTAAAGTTTTATCAACCTACTTCATTTCATTCGGATTGTGATTTCCACAGACGGCCGGACATTGATAAATCGAAATAGAATTTTATGTTGATCAAGAATGAACCATGGAAAATTGAAATTTTTAATTTTCCGCAAAAAAGGGTATTTTAGTGGTTGCATTGAATACGCAATATATGAATTTGTACTTCATTTTATAATTCTAAATGTCTTTATTGTTTCATATTAACAACGCACACACAAACTTTCTCTACCGTCGGAGTAACACACACACACTCAAGTTAAGCACACGTTCACAAATGACACACAATTATGTCGAAGAAATGGTTCGCTGTCATCGTCGATATACTGCTTTTTTGAGAACACCATGCAAATGGTCGAGTCGATCATGACACTATCGAACCTTAGACAATGACACACATGAATCAAAATGGTGGATGTTGTTGCCTGTTATTGCCTATCAAATATATAGCACATGATTGAGTAGTCAGTGTGTCAAAAAAAGCTTAATTCATACAATTCTTCTTGTGCTAGCCTTAAGTAAGTATCTCGAAGTTACACGCTGTTGCTGAGATTAGTATTATGGTACAATGAAGTTGGAAATTTTTCCAACTGCAATGAGACACCTGGATCGTAATGTCGCTTTTGAATTTATAAACAAGTAAATAAGCCGTAAGTTCGGCCGGGCCGAACTTTAAATACCCTCCACCATTTGGAACGAGTTTGGCAATTTTCAAAAAAGTTGAATCCATTGAAAATTCTGTTAAAATCTTAAAAATACCAAAATTAGGTCTAAACGACGACCTAGACCTGCATAGGCAACATTTGTCATAAAGCATTACAATATTCAAATGGGAAACTGAAATACAAGTCCGATGAATAATGTCGCTAAAATCATCAAAATGTTGTATATAGGGAGGTACCGTCATATGGGGGCTATACGAAGAGTAGACCTGCACAGACAATTTTCTGTCTTAGGCTGTACTATCCATTGCGAAACTTCAAATAACAAATTTGAAACAATTCCGGTGTATAATTTCGCTAAAATCAAGAAAGTAGCTAATATCGGGAGTCTACACCAAAACGTGCACCTACATAACTCATTTTCCACCAAAAGTCCTGCAGACATAATATGGATTTGAGTAACATTATATCAATCTTCTTCATTTTGTTCGGAAGCAAGAGTCATTTTCACAGACGGACGGACATCGCTAAATCGACATAAAATTCTATGCTGATCAATAATATATGTACTTTGTGGGGTCTAAAATGTATATTTTGAGGTATTACAAACGGAATGACAAAATAAATATACCCTCTGTTGGAGCCACTATTATGAAATTCGGAAATTATTTCTGATATAAAAATTATAAGGTACAGCAGGTTGAATAAATTTAAAAAATACAACTATGAATCTAGAGTCTTGTAACATCCAATTTACTACCACACTTATTTTACACACAGTATGTCTCGAGTTCCTGCTGTAAATATGTACATTCACTTTAACAGAATTTGAAAATTTTCAAGATTGTTTTGAATAGTATTCAAAAAAATACATACATATACAAATACTGCTAAGATTTTGATATTACAAGGCTGATATAAAAAAGACTCGGATTCATCCTTAGCGAAAAATTAAGGTCAGCGAATAGATAGAGAACTATGAATTAGATTCACAAACTAGTTCAGCAAAAAAACTGAACTTAATTGAGCCTTCAGTAAAATGAACAAGATTTTACAACAATACTAATGGGTACCCAACCCAATATTATAGTCTTCACATAATAGTACATCCCGATATCCAGCATTCAGAAAGTTTTGACATTATTCTACGTCGAAGTATCTGTAGTGTTGTATTTCTGACCCTAATTGGATCGCCAAGTGTAGATTTCATTTTTTAAAATTTTTACAAAGTTTATCTTTTTTAGTAAAAATTATATATTTCCAAGTCTCATGCAAAAGCACTTTACTTTCATATCGTTCGAAAATTATTCTAATTTAGTAAAATGCATTATTTATTCTTACCGTATCTCCATGACATATTGATACGATTAATAAAACCAACAAGATGGTTTTAATCATTTTTCAAAATCTGAAAAGAAAATAAAATGGGATTTATAACTATAAAGTAATATGAATTGTGTTGTCATGACAGTGTGAACAATTTTGAAGTCAACCTTCCTTTATTATTACTGGTTTGGTACAAGAATTCAAGGAAACCCGTAACAACCACCCAATTATAGTTTTTATAGTACCTCTTTCTCTCAAAGTACTTTACGAGGGCAGTTCGGAAACCTGTTAGTCTAGCACAGAAATATATATATATATATTTATGTTTCCAAAACACTTAACTTTTTTCTGTGCTAGACTAAGAGGTTTCCGAACTGCCCTCGTAAAGTACTTTGAGAGAAAGAGGTACTATAAAAACTATAATTGGGTGGTTGTTACGGGTTTCCTTGAATTCTTGTACCAAACCAGTAATAATAAAGGAAGGTATTTAAAGAAAAAAAAATGACCACACCTACTTTTACTCCCACTAGAGAAAAGAATACGATCGAATGGTTTGGCTGTTAATTCAATTCTGATTTTATTTAAAAAATGTGTTTCTTAAGTGCTACTGAAACTAATCTAACTTAACCTAGTCGCAGCCACACAATTGTTCTTATCTATTCTAATATTGAATGGAGAACATTGCAGGGCTGCTTGACATCTCATTCAAGTGATCTTGTGCATCTACTGAGAGCATCGATATATGTGCGTGTGGGTCATAACCTTTATTATCTCACACATTATCATATGCGTCAGCGCACAAGATCACCGAATTGTTCACATGTGGTATTCTATGGCGGCTGGGAAATATATAATTTTAGAATATTTATTGTTTATTGCTAGATATTCCCAGCGCCTCAACCGCACTCAAAAGTATGTACAAAGTATTTTGTACAATATTGATTTATCTAAAATTCGTATATTTGCCAAATATCGGTTTGAAAATTATTACACGAGATACTGTTGACTTTCCATCCAACCCTAAGTATTTATTTGGGGGCTAAGGAACTGACCACGCCTACTTTTTAAACATGCAACTGACAAATCAAATGTCGTTAGTTTGTAATGGAATCAGTTGAGAACGGCTGGACCCTTTTGGATATCTTTTTACGAATGTTCGTCATACTCAGACTTAGAGGAAAGATAAATTTACCATGCCTACTTTTTGGATCATAGTGTTTTAACTCACAGTGTTTCTAAAAACTTAAAAAAAATATAATTTTTTTCAACTAAACTGTAAACCGCCGAACATAATTTCCCATAATATAATAATAGCAACGCCTGAAAGTAACATAGGCTACACACAATTATTGAAATTCCACTGGGAACTAATTGTACAGTATCAGAATCGGAGTTACCTCCAAAAAATTTAGATATTAAATAAATTTACCAAATTATATTAAAGACGGTTCAGACAAAATTGTTTTAACGAAGTATTACTACGAAGAAGTGTAAATCCGAGGAACATGGAACTAGCTATAGTGGAACTATTCAACAAGAATGGACGTCCTATGCGCATGGCCGAAGATAGGGCCTTCAAAATTCTTAGAAGTTTGCTCGGAATAAATGTAAAATATTAAAACGGAAATATCTAATGATTTAAGAGGGACATTGTTTTCTCTCAAGATTGATGTAGCAACCAGGTGGGATTTGAGAATGCTCGGTATAAATGTTCAATACATCAAAAATGGTAAAATCATTGTTAAAACGTTGGCAGTAAAAGAGCTGAAATGAAGTCATGAATATATAAAATCTATTATATTGGCAGATCTAAAGAATATGGTGTTGACGTACGCAACAGTTTTACCATTACAACCGACAATGGATTTAATATGTTAAAAACGGTAAAAGTGCTGAATTCGGAGTTACAAATGATTATGGAAGAGGAATCTCAGGATAGCGAAGAAGAAGTTGATTGTGAAATATCGATTTATGAAATTGAGTCAATGGACTTTAATATATCCTCGCACATTCGTTGTGAAGCCCATACGCTGCAGCTGTGTGTAAATCATGTTCTAAAACAGCCAACAATAAAAGAAAAAACTGAAAACCTAAGACTCGTAGTGAAAAAATTTCGAAGTAAAACGTATATGAGTATTTTAAAAAATGGGCTCCACAAGAAACCTAATTGACTGTATAACAAGGTGGAATTCAACATACAATATGATTGAAAGACTGCTGGAAATAAGAGAAGTTGTAACTACATTAAGCAAAGGGAATTCGTAATTATTCATTAGTTCTGCTGACCGATCTTTCGCAAGTGAATTTGTTGGAATATTTAAACAGCTACAATGAAACTACAAACTGAACGGCTGTGTTATAGCGAACTATATATTGTAATAATGGATATTACATTCCAAATAGATGCTTTACCAAATACCGAAATGAAAGTGATACTGAAAGAATCATTGAAGACAAGAATGGATGAACCTATTGATATCGAACTTTTCAACGCAGCCGTGTATTTGGATCCACGTATTAAAGTCCGTATGACAAGCGAACAGAAAACTAGTGCTCAGATGTACATAGTGTCGTTATATAACCGAATACACTCAAAAGAAGGCACGTTTGCTATATTAATACCAAAAATACATACATATGTTTTTAATTATTACCCTTTTTTCTTCAGATTTCATAACAGACAATACGCCCTGCACAATACTGGATGAATCTCCATCAACAAGTAATACATGTACACCGAAATCCTTTTACCTGCAAACTTTAGATCATACCACGCCTACACAGAGTTCTTCCACAAATGCAAATGTTTTAGAATATCAGGAGACTTCAAACATTATTAGTGGTATTGCGAATATTTTACTGGCAATACCATCAACACAAGTAAGCCTGGAACGCTTATTTTCAGCTATGAAATAAATTTTATCCGATCAGCGCAATCGATTGTCACCGTTAAATTTAGAGCGTATATTAATGGTAAAAGCCAATGGGATTTTTTTCTGATCAGATTAAAGTTCTTACTGGTGCTCTTGTATTTTTAATTTATTACATTTTCTTTTTTTATTTTCTATTTGTATTATGTTTATTATATTTTTCTTGTTTAATTAATTCAATTTTTATTAAAAAATACATTTATGTAATAACAATTAAATACTTATAAATAAATTAGTATTAAGTATGTTTCATTGACATATGACAGTACGAATGTAGCCGTTATATTAGGATCTATACAACGACATGGACCTGCATCATCAAAAATACCGAATATAGGGAGGTACTATTATATGGGGGCTATATCAAAACGTGGACCTGCACAGACAATTTTCTGTCATAGTCTGTAGTGTCTATTACGAACTTCAAATACCAAATTTGAAGCAATTCCGGTGAATAATGTCGCTGAAATCATAAAAATACCAAATATTGGGAGGTACAATTATATACCATACTCTATACGATGACATGGACTTGCACAGATAATTTTCTATAATGGACTGTAGTATTCATAACGAACTTCAAATACCAAATTCGAAACAATTGCGTTGAATAATGTCAATAAAATCATCGAAATACCGTATATGGGGAGGTACCGTTATATGGGGGCATACCAAAATGTCGACCTACATGGCCCATGGTCCTGCAGACATAATATACATTTAAGTAAAATTTTATCAACCCACTTCATTTCGTTCGGAAGCTAGAGGGATTTCCACAGACGGGCAGAGGGACGGACATTGCTAAATCGACATAGAATTTTATGTTGATCAAGAATATATTTACTTTGTGGGGTCTAAAATGTATATTTCGTGGTGTAACAAACGGAATGACAAAGTTAATATACCCTCCATACTTTGGTGGAGGGTATGGAAAATTGTCAAATCATATTTGTACATAACATTTCAAATGCATATAAAACGAAAGGAGTAGCGAAACGCGCCGGTTTCAGCTAGTATTTGATAAAAAAAGATTTATCGGGACAAGAAATTCACAATTATATGTGTGTTATAATGTGTTAGGTGAATGTGCTCCTTCATATGCAACAGAAGAAAATTGGGTTGCTGAATTTAAACGTAGTCGTACAAGCATTGAAGATGAACCACGTAGTGGACGTCTAAAAACATCAACAACAACAGAAATTGTACCCAAAGTGCATGATATGGTATTAAATAATCGACGAATAAAAGTGCATGGAATTGCTAATATAATGGGCATTTCAAATGATCGAGTCCATTTAATTTTGCATGAAGCAGATTCCTGCAAGATCAAAAACACATAAAAATGAACATTTCTCAGGCTCGTTTTACGCGAATTAAAGGATTTTAAGCACCGTTTCATATCTGTTAATGAGACATGGATGCACCACTATACTCCAGAGACAAAAGAACAATTCAAAAACCAATCAATCGGCCGGTAAGCTTACGGCAACGGTTTTTGAGGACTTCAAAGGTATTTTATTGATTGACTATCTGCAAAAGGTAAAAGAATAAATTCAGAGTACTATTGCAACCTTTTGGTTCAATTAAATGTACAAATTCGAGAAAAACGTCCTGGCTTAAAAGCACAAAAAAATCATTAAGACAACGCACCAGCGCACAAGAGTGTTTTTACAATGGCTAAAATCAACAAATGTAAGTACGAGTTGCTTGACCACTTTCTTTCTGGCAAGCATTTTACCTCAAATGAAGATGCAATTACAGTTGTAAACCGCTATTTGGAAGACCTTGAAGAAAACTATGTTAATCAGGGGATAGAATTGCCAGAAAAGCGTTGGACTAAGTGTATTGAAGTTTCAGGAGATTATATTGAAAAATAAAAATATTTTTAATAACCATCTAATTTTTAAATAATTTCGTTGTATGTGGCTATAACAATCAGAATTCCGAATATCATTTTCAGAAACAGCGATTCGTGTCGGAACCGGTTTGCAGCCGAGGAAAATATTTTTGTTTTGAAACACATTAAACACTGATAATAGAAAAGTGCAGCCAGAAATGAATATTCTTGCAGTTGTAGCGCATTAATAATTAAGAAATAATTTTAACACCTTGAAAGCTCGGAAAGTCAAATTGGATATATAACCCATTTCAT